CCTTCCTCCCTTCCTTTCTCCCTTCCTCTTTCTTTCATCCTTCCTCCCTTCCTTTCTCCATCCCTTTCTTTCAGCCTTCCTCTTTCCTTTCTCCATCACTTTCTTTCATCCTCCCTTCCTCTCTCCCTTCCTCCCTCTTTCCTTCATCCTTCCTCCCTCCCTTCCTCTTTCCCTTCCTCTTTCCTTCCTCCTTCATCCCTCTTTCCTTCATCCTTCCTTCCTCCCTTCCTTTTTCCCTTCTTTCTTTCATCCTTCCTCCTTCCTTTCTCCAGCCCTTTCTTTCATCCTTCCTTCCTTCCTCCCTTCCTCTCCCTTCATCCCTCCTTCCTTCATCCTTCCTCCCTCCCTTCCTTTTTCCCTTCCTCTTTCTTTCATCCTTCCTCCTTCCTTTCTCCCTTCATCCCTCTTTCTTTCATCCTTCCTTTCTTCCTCCCTCCCTCCCTCCCTCTCCCTTCATCCATCTTTCTTCCTGCCTCCCTCCGTCCCTCCTTTTTTTCATCGTACTTCCTTCTTCCCTTTAACCATCTCTCCCTTTCCCCTCCCTCCCTTTAAACCTTTCTTTCATCTATCTTCCTCCTTCCCTCTGTTTTAATCTTCCTTCCTCCATATCTAACAAAATGAAATTCAGTGTAGAGAAAAGGAAAGTCCTACACTTAGGCAGGAAAAACCCAAAGGACACATACAGACTAGGTGAAACCAGGCTCAATAGCAGGAACTGTGAGAGGGATCTTGGAGTCTTAGTCGAGAACCAGCTAAATAGGAGCCAGCCGTGTGCAGCAGCCGCCAAAAAAGCCAATGCAATCCTAAACTGCATTAACAGAGGGATACAATCGAGATCAAGGGAGGTACTAATACCACTCTATAAAGCCTTAGTAAGGCCACACCTAGAGTCCTGCATCCAGTTTTGGTCCCCACGCTATAAAAAAGATGTTGAGACTCTAGAAAAAGTGCAGAGAAGAGCAACCAGGATGATGAGGGGACTGGAGGATAAAACATACGATGAACCGTTGCAGGAACTGGGCCTGGCTAATCTAGGGAAGAGAAAGACCAGGGGAGACAGACATTATAGCAGCCTTCCAATATTTGAGGGGCTGCCCCAGCGAGGAAGGAAGGGGGTCAAGCTATTTTCTAAAGCACCTTTGAAGGCCAGACAAGGAACAATGGATGGAAACTGATCAAGGAGAGATTCAACCTGGAAATAAGGAGCAACTTTCTGACAGTGAGAACAACCAACCGAATGAAACAGAAGTTGCCCTCAGAAGTTGTGGGAGCTTCATCCCTGGAGGCTTTCAAGAAGAGACTGGACTGGCCTCTGTCAGAAATGGTGTAGGGTCTCCTGCTTGGGCAGGGGGTTGGACTAGATGACCTACAAGATCCCTTCCAACTCTGATTATCTGTTATCTGTTACCTTTTTTTTAAATCTTCCTTCCTCTCTCCTAGCCATCTCTCCCTTTCTCCCTCCTTCCTTTCTTCCTCAGCCTCCCTCCCTCCCTTCAAACATTCTTTCTTTCATCTGTCTTCCCTCCCTCCCTCCCTCCCTCCCCAGGGGTGCAAAGAGGGCACCAAGCGCTCCCCCCAATAAGTAATAAATTGCATTCTTAACGTTTATGGAAAGAATGTGCCTCTTGATCATGAGGATTCTGCCAAGGTCGTAACTATGAAAAACAGTTCTAAGTCACTTTTTTTCCGATGCTGTTGTAACTTTGAACTCTTGCAATTTGAGGACTACCTCTATTGCAATCGTTGGCAGAAGGGATTTCAGTTTAAATAAGGATGAGGCCTCCACAGGTCCTGGGTGCCGGGGCTCAAACACACTTCCAAAGCTATAAAAGGCTGAAATTGAATCTGGTTTAATTTAAATTAAGATGGGACACGAAAAGGCCCCCAAATCAAACAAAAGTAATGTAATAACTCCTTCATCAAGTCACCGCTCTGTTGCTTTTTATTGATGTGATATTCCTCCTTTTGCGATAAAACTATTGGTTCGAAAATGATCTTGAGTTCAATCTCCTGACACATGGGTGGGTTTAGGGGAGGTCATAGGCTTTTTGGGGGGGGGGCTACATGAGGGCTATGGGACATCTAACCCTCCTTAGTCAGTTGTACGTTCCTGAATTTTTCGCTTAGCTGGCTGCAGGTGAGGTTAAGAGGGGTTGACTTTCACCCAAGGTAAGTCTTTCTCAGCATCCTTCGGTTTGGTGGGGGTGACCATCGCGTATCGATCTTCTGTGGGGTCCTGGGTGCCCTCTGAGCTTGGGGGTTTCCTTGCAGACGTTTCATGACCCGACTAGGGAACATCATCAGATCTAGAAGGGAGTGTTGTTCACAGAAAGGAGGAGGAGGACTGTGAGGTCCTTGGTATTCACTGAGCTTGGGGGTTTCCTTGCAGACGTTTCATGACCCAACTAGCGAACATCATCAGATCTAGAAAGGAATGGGGTTTGGAGAGTAGAGAAGAGGAAGGGGAAGAAGAGGAAGAGGAGGAGGGCTTTGTGCTCTCATCAGTGCTACAAGGAAGGGAGATTTGCAGAGGGGAGGAGGAGAAGGGGAGGAAGGGATTGAGAAGGAGGACTGTGGGGTCATTGATGCTCTCTGAGCTTGGTGGTCTTGTAGATGTTTCATGACCTACTTACATAATGTCATCAGTGCAAGAAGGGAGGGGGGGTTGCAGGGAGGAGGAGGAGGAGGAGGAAGAAGAAGAAGAAGAGGAAGAAGAAGAAGAAGAAGAGGAGGAGGAGGAGGAGGAGGAGGATTGTGGGACCCTTGGTGTTCTCTGAGCTTGGTGGTTTCCTTGCAGACATTTCATGACCCAACTAGGGAACCTCATCAGATCTAGAAAGGACGGGGGATTTGCAGAAAGGATGAGGAGAGGTGGAGGAGGGCTGTGGAGTCCTTTGGGTATTCTTGGTGGGGGGTTTTCTTTGCGGATGTTTCCTTCTGGGTGTTAAGGGTGCCCTTCTATCGGTTTCCAGATCTCGGTGGCTCTCGTTGCCTCCTGCTCCATTCTCACCTTCTCCACGGTGCTTCTTTCCCTCCAGGTCGTGGATATCATGCGAGTGAACGTGGACAAGGTCCTAGAGAGAGATCAGAAACTTTCGGAGCTGGATGACCGCGCCGATGCCCTTCAAGCCGGAGCGTCTCAATTCGAAACCAGCGCCGCCAAGCTTAAGCGCAAATACTGGTGGAAGAACTTAAAGGTAGGACGGGGGACGACTTCCTCCTCCTCCTCTTCCTCCTCCTTGCCCACAAACCTGGTGGCCTCCTTCCCTTTCTCCAAAGGATCCACCAAATGTTAACTTTGAGGAACCTTGTTGTTTTCTCCCCAGGAAGCCCAACCAACATTACACGGAGAAGACCTCTTGAGATTAAAGAGATGCCATCTTGCATCATTTCTCCAGGGCAGGGATCAGCAACCTTAAACACTCAAAGAGCCGGAACTGGAAGTCTGGTTTTCCCACCATAGAGTTTCTTCCTAGCACTGGAGGTCCGGTTCCCCCCACCTTTGAGTCTCTTCCTAGCGTTGGAAGTCTGGTTACCCCCACCATTGAGTCTCCTAGTGCTGGAAATCTGGTTCTCCCACCATAGAGTCTCCTCCTAGCGTTGGAAGTCCGGTTCTCCCACCATAGAGTCTCCTCCTAGCGTTGGAAGTCCGGTTCTCCCACCA